CCACCCACCCACCCACCCACCCACCCACACACCCACACACCCACACACCCACACACCCACACACCCACACACCCACACACCCACACACCCACACACCCACCCACACGCACCCACACGCACCCACACGCAACGACACGCACCCACACGCACCCACACGCACCCACACCCACCCACACGCACATGCACACCCACGCGCACTCGCACACGCACACGCACAGGCACAGGCACAGGCACAGGCACACGCACACGCACACGCACACGCATACGCGCAAGCACACGCACACGCACACGCACACGCACAGGCACAGGCACAGGCACAGGCACAGGCACAGGCACAGGCACAGGCACAGGCACATGCACATATATATATATATATACACACACGCACTAACTCTACCGATGAGTTTTGTTAGCCAAGGCCCCAACCGCAACACGGACTGGTCGCGGTTTCTCATGTTCACCTCCGCTGACAACGGATGCTTCGGATGCACAAAGGCGCAGCTTTGTGTGCACCGCGTTTGCATGGCAGTTCGATGAGGAACGACGGTCATTGCGGTGCGAGGGACCCTGGATGCTGTTGACGTCCCTCAGCTGCACGAAGCAGTCTTCCCCCATGGATCCCTGTATATGGCATAGATGCTGTCTAAGGTGCTTCAAGATGTTTCTCTGTGGATGATTCCAGCAATACTCCAGCTGCGGCCTAAGCTCATGTGAGTGCGCCGAGCCATCATTCACGCAGAATACACGGAATCCCGGCTTCTGCCGCTGCTGTGCTTGCATTAGAGTATTCCCGATGATGCTGCTTTTGCTCGCCCTTTGCCTTGCAGCATGCCCGTGCTTTCTGTCTTGTGCTTCTATAGCTGCGGTAACAGGAGCGTTCTATTCCTGCATGGTCTCCCGTGGGGGTCCAGGTCGAAGTTTGGATCATGTTGTGTTTTGTTCAGGACTTTGGAAGCATGGCTCGCAGCATTATCTTTTTCGTTTGTGGGAGGCCTTGTCTCAGATTTGTTTCAATTGCCAGACCAAGCGAAGTTGGCTGCCCGGATTGTTTGGGACCCACGGAGCTTGCATCGAGCCGATCCCGGCGGTGGGTTGCTTGTGCTCTTCTGGCTTCCGCACAAGCCCTCAAAGTTCTCCTCGTCTCCGAGAACTGTCTCAAACTTCTGAGACTGAAAGCTGTCTTGTTTCGCCTCCCTCGGCTTGGGAGCACAGGCTCCCCCTCCGCAGAGACTCGGGATCGCTGTGTGAAGCCACCGCATCGCTTCTCAACGACCCTAGCTCGCCCGTGACCTCACGGCTACGGCTGAGGAGCATGGGCTTGCTCGGCCCGGACATTGGGGCAGACTGCTGGGGCATTGCCATGGCGAGGACGGGGTGTCAAACTTATCTTCAGTGGCTCACCGAAGTCTCTGGTTGCCTACTGCAAAAGCTTCTTCCGACCTGGGTCGGCTGTCTATGTGCATCTGGTTGGGGTCTTTTGGATATGCAAGAAACGAAGACTCCAAGCTCCTGGCAGAGGCATTCCAACGAGTTTCCTTTGCATCTTGGCGGCGAAGAGGGAAGAACGATGTTGGGGCCGCAATACAGAGCTCTCCAGAGTCGCTCATGTACCTTATCAGGGACCTCTGCTTTCGTCACGTCCATGGGGAGAGTAGCCTGGCGACATGCGCTTATGGAAAGGTGCTCCGTGAACCTGCAGTCCTCGTATGCTTCGCTGCTACGCGTCGTTACTGACATGCTGACGACGTTCCCGAACAGGCAGCTTGGCAACATCCGCGTTCTGGTGTCTGAGAGCGCGACCACCCACAGTCTCTAAACAGACGATCACCCAGTAGACGGCCAGTAGAGAAGGGCTGCAGAAGCGTGCCACAGAGCTGCAGCGACCCGATCGATGATGCACATGAAGAGATCTCTGCTGTGTGGGCAGCTGTGGGCGTGTTTCGTTCAACTACTCAGATATTTGTTTGGATTGAGCAGGACATTCTACCTCACTGGGCACTCACTTGGCGGCGGCGTTGCGAAGCTGGTGGTCCGAAACTCAGAGAGTTGGCCCAAAGCTGATGTTATCCGGCCTGCAACCCGACCTCAGAAAACTCTCAGGGAAAGGTGAAGATTTGCGCTGTCTCCGGACACTCTGGGCACTTTTAACAAGATGCAGAGCTGGAAGCGCCAATCCAGCAGAGAACGAGAAGGTCAGGGCCGTCAACTCTTACTTGACCACCTGATGGAGGCTTTTCAATGCGCACTTCCGAGCGTGCTGTGCAGCCGAGGACATGGAGCTCACGTCGTTACTTGGTCGTGACTGGCTGTCTCGGAAGGGGGCAGGTGTTGCATTCTTGGCTTCGAAGCTGTGCCTCTATCAAAGCCGCCTCAGGAGCCCAAAAAACCAAAAAAGAAGAGGACATATAAGAAGACCTTATTATGAAAGCCCCCCCTAAACCCCCCCCGCCCCAAAGCAGTTCCGAGAGCCGAGGAGGCATTTGACGAAGCGTCCGACGACCATCGCCTTCTCTGCTCCAGGCTCGCAGCCTTTGTGGGGGAGTTCTTTCTCTCTTTTTGAAAAAAGCAGAGAAAAGACGGAACGTCTTTCGACCCTCTTGCAGAAAAAGGCCAGGTTCTGGCCCCAAACGTCCCTGCCCCTTATATGTCCTGGCGTAGCGGCGACCACGCAAGAAGAACGTCGAGGATGGTGGCGTGATGTTGTGTGGGCCTCCAGACGAGCAGTGCAGCAGGAGCGTTTGGGTTGGGGAAATGATCGCGTGGCATCTGCAAGGTCTCTGGCCAGCAAGTGTTAAGACGTAAGAAAAGCCGAAACTGAGGTCAGTTGCACACCGAGCATGTGACCAACTGACCATGTGCACTGACTTTCCTGCTGTCGCAGACTGCGGCATATTTTGCAACTCGTGCGCGTTTCGGAGGCCTGCTGCTGGCATCACAGGTGCTTTACTCTGGCCACGTCAGCCCCACGGCTTAAGTGACAGTTGGCAAGCTTGGGAAGACGGCAAACAAGAAAGCCCGAACTGTGCACAGTTGAGTCAGGACGTGATTTGGGGGTGGCTTCCTAAACGCTGGTGTAACACTCTGGGATTTTTGCCTGCGAGGGAGCACAGGTGCACCGAAACTTGGGGCAGTGATGCAGGGCGCCCGATCTGGACCAAAGTCTGCGGTGACTGTGTCCGCCTCTCATCGTCAAATGCAACACTTCGTCACTCGCGAACTTGATCCAGCTCTGGCCAGTGCCGTGCAGATTTTGGGATGGAACTCGTGCTAACGCCGCAGTCCCCACGCATTTTGGCATTCAAGCCGCTCGAGGAGCCTCATCGTTGTGGTTTTGAAATCCAGCCATTGCGAGAGCTTCTTCGCCGTAACTCGAAATCGTGCTCCCGCCGCAGCGCGGTACCTTTAGCTGGGGACCCGTGTTTCCGCCTCCAAAATCGTGCCCCCGCAGTCCCACACACATTTGAGGGCGGTGCATGTTTTGGGATGGCAACGTGCTCCCAGTCAGTGTGCATTTCGGATTCATGAGGTGATCTTCAGGTTTGCTCCTGCTCTAGGCATGGTTTCTGGCTATGTAGGGCTTCGGCTGCTAGGTGCCCCGTTTTGGGTCTATGCTTGCTCCTTCGTCGCCGAGGCACTCTGCAAGAGCTCGGCAGTGCGCTCTCCAGCATCACCATCCGGCCAACCGGTGATGTCGTGTCGCATCTGAGCTCGTTCAGCAGCATTTTCCAGTGGCTCTGAACCCCACCTCGGTGCTGGGAGCCCAGTTCTCATCTTCTCCCCCTCAAGGGCTGTGGACATTGAGCTCGGCAGCCGAATCGCGGCGCCATGTAGCGGCTTCGCACCTGGGCAGCAGCACGGTGTGCAGCACCGCAACATTCCTGGCCCGTGCTCAGCTTGGGCTTGCTTTCTGATGCGAGGCGTTGCAATGCCCTGGCCTCAGCAGAGCTTAGTCGAGGCCTTCCCTCCTCTAAATCGGTTGGTGTGCATCTGACAAGAAGCATTTCCTGGGTGCAGGTCGCTGCAAGTTGTTCAAGGATGTTCAAGGTTTCATCCTTTGTGCCACTGTAGTGCATTTGGGGCCTTCTTGCCGAGTTCGACAGCCGGGACTTCCGACACATTACGGATCAGACACTCCGCATGTGCAGCCAACTACTGTGATTTCACGTTTGATGGTGCTTGAATTGCCAAGTTCCCGGCAGAACGGCACCTTGCATGGAACAGTGAAGTCTGGCCTCGTCACCGTAATGTCAGACATCTTTTCTCAACGCAGAACTGGAGAGCAGGCAGCAAAACGCAAGCGGGTTGCCGAGGCCACAGCATCTACAGCACTCTCTGGCACATATTCACTTTGTGCTCAGCTTAGCACCTCGTTTTCGAGCATTGCGGCATGAAGACGTCTTTGTGCCATGCAGCCGCTTGAAATCATTTGAATACGGTCCCGGCGCAGACTGACAGGTGTGGTACCGCTGCGACGTCAGTGAATGTTTCGATACCCTGCTCCTGGCCAGACTATGTTTTCTCAAATCGAATGCAGTGGGAAAGGCCTGCACGTGATGGGGTTTCCTTGCTGGGATCGACTTTTGAAAGGGATGCTGAAGGAAGTTCCCCTCTCCCACTGTGCAGGACCATCGCGAATTACCTGAACAAGCATCCTGAGAAATCCTGCCCTGGCAAAGCTGACTGAGCGCGACGGTGTTGCGTGGCCTAAGTGGGAGCTGTAGTGGCTGCCGTGTGGTGAGGCCTTGTGTTTAACATGCCTTTTCACAGCTTGGGCAGTGCAAGATAGCTGCTCACGACTGGCTGCAGACCTGATGATCATGCTAAGATATGCTAAGCTTGCCTGTGCTGATGCTCTCGTTTCGCAGCAACTCCTCCGTAGTTCAACCTTTGCCGTGTGCGCAAGTGACCGAGTCCAAGCTCGCCTTACCCGTGACACCAAGAAGAGCCCACAACCGCAACCGCAAAACCTGTTCTGTCTTTCGAAGTCTAACACATTCTAACAGTCTAACATACACGGTGACTTCTGCGATGCTGCTGCTGCTGCTGCTGCTCCGACGGAGACAGTGTCCAGGGCCGTTAATGCACTGCGGCGGAAGAGGTGCCGCTGAGGCTTCATGCACGAATCCGATGCAAGACTTCTTCACGCAGAGTTCCACGCCAAAGAAGCCCTTAACTTGAAGCCTCGGCGGGCTCCTTCTCTGTTGCTCTCAGAGAGTGCATCGCTCCAGCCCGAAAAAGGATGCCCCTGCACTGGCTTTAGCAAAGAGACGCGGTGGCACTCCACGAGTCTGTCGCTTTCGCCGTTCTTGCTTGGCTGAGCTTTTGCTTGTGCACCCAACAAGAGTACATCCAGAAAGTGGATAGCCTAGTATGCTGCGGGTAGCCAGGCATGGCCAACATTGAAGTTAGCTGCAAAGCATATCAATGCACTACTAAATACAAAGGAAACTGCTTCGACATATTTTAGGTGGAGGCCTTGCGAAGATCAAGGTTCCACATGGCGCTAGAGGACCCACCCGCATGGTACGGCGTGTAGCAGCATCAGACCCTCATGCAGGGACTTGAATGTAGAATCTGCTACATCAGCCGCTGCTTGGGGGCGCATACTGCATATGGGAACCCTCTTGCAAGCCACAGCTGTCCTCTCACCCTTCCTTGCAGGATGGACTCGAAAATGAGAGCCTCGTGGACGGCAATGCAGGGCATACGGAGGCAGACATCAAACTCATCGTTCTCCTGCTTTGTTGAGTGCACAAGGGTCGGAACGATAGCCCTTGAAATTCGACCTGGGGACCGCAGTGTGGCAGGTGGAGCCTTCGTCGTACTGGCGCCGATTTCGACCCGGCTGGCGCACTGGTGCCGCACCCAGACGGATCCTTGCTCGGGTAGGCACTTTGGGCGCAGCCTTCTCGGAGGACTTGCGGGTGCATCCACCTGGGCTTGCCCAGCTCTACTAAGGCATCCTGCTCTTCAGTGCACTGATGGTCTGCGTGGCTTTTACCCCCCGCTGCCAGGAGCCCAGCCTCTCTAGGACACTACAGAATACTACAGAGCCCTTTAAGAGACCTGGGCCCAGGTCTGAAGTCCATTCACTTCCTGGAAGGTCCACGACCTGTGACTTGAGTCGAGTTCTGGTTGAAGGCGACAGTTGCAACTTCCCCTCCTGGCTGCAGGGCTACTTCCAGATGGATTTCGATCTCTTGAGGTGGAATTTGGGCATTCCCAGGAGTGCGGCCCGCTTGAGACACGGAAGCACCCTAAAGTGCCGGTCTGAGCTGCAGGAGCTGCCGCTGGTTGAGCTTGGTCATATCAGCCACTTCGACGGAAATGCAGACAGAGACAGTCATGAAGCAGAGGGATAGAACGAGTCGCTGCAGTAAGCTCGACAGGCAATATCGGCATGAGCATGCACAGAGGAAGGAGTAGGAGGAAGAGGAAATTAGAGGAAGAGGAGGAGCAGAGTCGCGTAGGAGCGAGAAATAGGAGGAGTAAAAAGCGTGCAGCATGCCAGTCTCGCCAGAGCCATTTCAAACAGTCGGTTGTTTTCAGTGAGTTTGAAGCCGCAATCAATCAAAGCTAACTACGGTGCAGGGTGATCGCATCCTCCGATCCTTAGAGAGAGAGAGAGAGAGAGAGAGCCCACGAGATCCGAATCCAGAGGTGACCCTGAACTGCTTCTTCAAAGCTCTGAGCCACAAGCCAACCCCGAAGCAACAACTCCACACAAGGCAAGGCCGCAGGCAAGGTGCTGTGTGTGGTGGATGTCGCCGCTCGGAGTCGCAAGAGACGGGTTTCAGCATCTACATAATCTATTTTCCAACCATGTCCTGGGCCACTTCTTGGAAGAGTGGCCTCACGGCCTGCAGCGTCCCTGGTAATTAGAAAGCACTACCAAGTCTTGCTTTCAGGCAGTTTATGCGTTTTGTCTTCGCTTATCCTTCCTTCCCTCCCTCCCTCCATCCCTCCCTCCCTCCGTCCTTCCTTCCTTCCTTGTTTTTCCTTCCTCGCTCTGCAAGGGATTCAATTTCTCGATTTCGATTCGGGTGGCCCTGCAATTAGCAAGAGGATTGGGCTTTCGGCTGTCTCGAACGGGCGTTTTGACTTGTTCGCTTGGATTGCAACGGGGGTCTGTAGTCTTCTGTGGCCTCCGGTACTCTTCAGAATTCAGCAGTTCCTCCCATCACTTACATTGTTGACGTGCCAAATCAAGGAAAACAGCATTGATGGCGATGGCTGCTGCTTTCGTGAGTGAATGTGTACGCAGACTCGGGGAGCTTATCCCTGCTTGAAAAACCGACGCACTCTGCAGAAGGGGGAGCGAGCCTGTCAGGCACAGAGTGTTGGGCGTGTCCTGCTGCTTGGCAACTCCATCGCCGCAATCACGATCAACTGCGCGGCTCAACTTGCACCTCCAGAGCCGCCCAGCAGGGGCCGCATTGATTGCAGAGCTGCAGCTGAGGACTTTGGGCGCATCAAACGAGTAAACAAGCGCCCAGTGACTCAGGCAGGAAAATTGTGCTACAAACGTTGGCTTCGTTGAGATCATGGAACATCTCCTTATCCTTGTCTGGCAAACAGACGCACCCAAGAAAGCCGCTGCATTGATGATTCAGGATGAGCGACAGACATGTGCGATCACCATCATTGGCGCACCCCGGATAGACTGTTGGAGTATTGCCGTCCTGAATGTGAAATGGCACACATATCATGAAATCTGCAGGAGCGGTCTGTTCTCGTGCGCGAACTGAGGCACTGGTGAACACTGCTCTTGGTCTCGGTGCTGCCTCGTCCTCCGTGTCGACATGTTCTGGGTCATTGAATGTTCCGGCGAATTGTGTGCCTGGTCTGGCATAAGCCGCATTTCGCCCCCCCCCCCTCCCGGTGTTTTGAGGAAGTGTGCCGGTCTCGACATCCGCACTTTCGCATGTTTCCTTTTCAAGCATTCAAGCCCATCGTGCTTTTTGGCAGAACTGCGCAGCTGAGTGGGTGCAGCATGTGGTAGTTCGATCAAGGGAAGCATGTTTGATGAAGTGAGCGGTGCACTCTCACGCTCCGACAGCTCTGTAAATGATAGTCTTTTCTACGCGCTGCACACCTTGTCCTTGCCAGGCTGCGAACATCAATGGCTTCATAGGTACTTCGGCCCGCAGCTTTCATCTCTAGGATGTATGGCACAGCAGCTGTGCTATGCCTCTGGACCCAGCTTAGATGTTTTGGGGCCCAATTGAAGCACTTTTTTTGACGGTCAGATTGGTTGATTGTGGGATTATTGGCAGTCGAGACCTCCAAGGCAACGTGCTGGTGTTGGCTGGGACGGCTATGTCTGCAGATCTCAGCTGCCCGCGGAATCCGGCAGACACAGCCACTGAGTTTGATTTTGACCTGCCTTGGCCTTTAGCACCAAAACACCTGTGCAAGGTAGGCAGCGAGAGCCAGAGAGGGATAGCTTCAGCTGCAGGTGCGCGCCCTCGCGCAGCGCAGCGAAGGGGGCCCGCCCTTCCTCCACCCAGGTAGAGAGAGAGACAGAGAGAAAGCAAGCGAGCTTTTTCCCAGCAATGACTGGAAAACACGGAGCGTCCTTCCAAGTGCGCTAGCCACACCCTTGTGTTGTGCAAGGTGGGCATAAGCGGGGCTTATCTGGTTAATCTAGTTACGGGGCTCTCTGTCTGGGGTTGTGGAGTGCTGGTGTAGTCTTGTGTCACTGCGTAGCCCACGCGCACACCTAGGATGGGCTTCGGGAGCTGAACCCCAAATGCTTCGCAAGCTAGCAAGCAAGCTTCAATCCCATTTCATCCTGGCGTGACGTCTCTTTCCTTTGGGGACCTGTGAGCCTTGTTTGCCGTGTGCAGCGAATTCCAATTTCAGGGCCGTGTTCCTCGTGCTGCTTTCGTCGACATAGTCGATGTCTTACCTCGTGCCTTATTGATCACCCCACAATTACTGGGGGTGCACTAGCGCAGGGCAGGGGTCGCACCCCTATCTTCTATTCTCGTTTTAGAGAGAGGTCTTTAGGACGGATCAACCAGCGGGTCGCATCATTTTCAGATTTCACCAACAGACGTCAGACCCAGTGCGCGCCTGTGCGGGGGAGTGGGGACTCGCTCTCCTTTGGCTGTGTGCAAGCAAGAGGTCTTGATAGAGGCTTAAGCTTTTCACCAAAGCCCTGGCGAAAGAAAGCTTGAAGACTTGAGGTGAAGCGGGAGAAAGCAAGAATCGAGCTGCTTGGACCTGGTCCGGTATGCTTTATGCTTTAACGGGCCTTCGTCCTGACTCATGTTGATTGCTACCCGTGAGAGTTGTGAGTGGACCCTTGACAGCTTGCCACGTGCAGGCAAGCGAAAGAGGCCGCGCAGGAAGCCGACACCCGGATTGCACGAAGCCAGTTCACAGAAAGTTACGTGCTATCGCGGGAAGCAGTCCTGATGACTCGCTGGTGACTATAGCCATTTTGCACAGGGTTCGTAGCGCCAGCCGCAAAAGAGTGATACCGTGAGTTAAAGGGCTTTCTTTGTCCTTCTTCGTACTACCGGCCTCTCAGCATCTCTACTCTCATGCCTTTGCTCATGTTCTTGCTGTCTTCTTATGTCTAAGAGCAAGCAGCTCGTAGCAAAGAAATGCAGCCTGCCTAGGCTCGAAAATGGTTGAGGAATGCCGGACAGGATGCTGGACAGCACTGTCAAGCCGCTCCAAAAGCCTTCGTAGCACTTCCACAGTGGAACTTGGGAGCTCGCAATTTCTGGCTTCAGGGGTGAAGGGAGCGAGGTTGTTGCGGAAACTGAAGGGTTGGCAGGGGCTGGCCGTGGAGAAGGGGTTTGTGTGTGTTGGGGTGTGGGGTTGCAGGGGCCGCGCACAAAACACGGGGAACGAAGGTTTCAACAAGCCCAGGACGTCTCGCATCTGCCAGCACCTCCAGCTGCGCTTCCAGCTGACACAGTATATCGCCAGATCGATCGCGCCATGGCAGATGTGTGAGAGCGGGGATGCTGCCAGTATTACGCCATTTCGCTTTTGTACTGCCTGATGCGAAATTGAGGAACCTTCAACAAGCCTAGACAAGACCCAAATTCCGACGGCTATGTCCCGAGATGTCCCGAGGCCCCAAGCCCTAGCACGTTACGACAGCCTGCAGTGCCTTTTTTGGAGCAAATCTTCGAGCCCGAGAGCTATGGCCCAATGCCCGAAACTGGAGGCTGTGTCGGCCATCTAGATCTGGCGACCACGCTGCTTCTACGCACTTAGCTCACACTCGGTGCCGAGGACTTACATGGGGGTTGTACTTGCTGAGGGGCCCTTGTAACAAGGATTCTTGCTGCTCACCAGGGCGTTCTTTAACCCGTCAGCTGTCCAATCGTCAGCACGCGACTGCGTGCGTGAACAATTTGGCAATCCCGTTGCAGGTTTAGCAGTACGGCATGTTGGCACTGAGTGGCTCCACATCCAAGGTTTGTCATGAAAGCGGGTGTCATCATTGCGGAGACGTGTCTGCAGCAACAATGACCGGACACAGTGTCGAAACGAGGGCAGCAGTCGAGATCTCATCTCCAAGGACAGCACGATGCACTGTGCCGCTGACTACATCGAGGATTCCGATGACGAGCGTGTCTGTGCGGAACCTATTTGCATTCATGCATAGCAAGCTCACCAGTATGTCTGCATTGCCGGAACATGCGTAAAGTTGCACGTGTCATGGATGCTTGAAAGACCTTGAGTCCTCGAAACTTCCGAGCCCAAGCATCTGAAGCGCAGAGGTGCGATAGACATCATCGGCCTCACTGGTGTGCTCAGTTTGGCTACACGCTTCTACTCCCTGGCTCTTCGGTCAGGACATGCCTTTTTTTCGTGCGGTTTAAGCTGGACAGGGATCCTTGCGGCTTGCGGGTGTCTCAGGGGTTGAGACTTATGTTTTTTGCTGCGTGTCGCGTTCCTTCCGTGCAGCTGAGCAGAAGAGTGGGCAGTCTTCGATCTGATGTGAGTCTCTAGCACCTGTTAGGAAATCAAAGTGTTCCAAGCCTGGTAGCTAAGCCGACTCCCGACCTAGGCGGCGAACAGCTGCATTGCAATCGTTGGCCGCCTTGGCAGTTTCGATGCAAGTTGTTCGGCGGACTGTGCCGGAATCATAGCAGGCTGGGGGCGTGTCCTAATGTGTCGGGCTGTTATCCTCGCCTCCTCCATCCTTACGGTCAACGGTTCACGACTCATACTCGTCCGCATCAGCATGTGTAAGCGGTAATTGCCGAGACCCGATTGAACTGCATGGAAGCACGACGTGTCATGGACCTGCGCTCCTCGCTAGTATTTCTAGTGCAGTTGAATGGACAGCAAGGATGAGGCTCGACTCGCCTAGCGCAGTCCATGATTGCGAACCGTTGTAAACGCTTCGCGTCGTCCGCCTCGGCCCAGCCGCCGATAATAGGGCCGACGAGTTGCTGCTTTTAAGGCATCGTTGGCGGAGTGGAGGAGGACGGCCGGGGAGGGATGGGGGGGAGGGGGGGGGGGGG